GAAGGACCTCCAAAAACACCATCTCTAAATGGTAGTAACTACTATATTGCTTTCATTGATAATTACACAAGAATGTGTTGGATTTATTTCATAAAACATAAAACTGAGGTTGCTAACATCTTTAATAAGTTTGAAACTTGGGCAAAAGCTCAAAGTCGAACAAAATTACAGATAATAAGGTCTGACAATGGAACAGAATGTACATGTCAAAAATTCAGCAAGTTTTGTGAAGATACAAGCATTGAACACCAGTAAAAAGGGCCTTATACCCTACAGCAGAATGGGGTTGTGGAGAGAAAAATAGAACAATAATGGAGATGACAATATGCTTACTCATGACAAGGATCTGCCAAAGAAATTCTGGGCAGAGGCAGCAAACACATCAATTTTCTTGTTAAACAGATTATCATCAAAAGCTCTTCAGAGAAGAACTCCATTTGAAGCTTGGTATGGTTTTAAACCAAAATTGGTAAATTTGAAAACTTTTGGTTGCCTTTGCTTCTCTTATATTCCCCAAGTTAAGAGAGACAAGTTGGATAAGAAAGCAGAACCAGGAGTCTTTGTATGCTACAGCTCAACATCAAAAGCTTACAAGATCTACTTTCCATAAATCAACAAAGCAATTGTTAATAGAGATGTGCAATTCCTTGAGTTAGACAACTAGAGCTTGAAAAATGACAAGAAACTTGAGTTTCAGGAGGAGAATGATGATGTAGATGATCAACCTATTAGAGGAACCAAATTACTCTCTGATATTTATCAGAGATGTAATGTAGCCATAATGGAACCTGCAGGATATGAAGCTGTAACTGATCAGAAACGGATTTATGCAATGAAGGTGGAGCTTAAGATGATTGAAAAAAATCAGACATGGCAATTGGTGGACAGACCTAGACATAAGAAAGCTATAGGAGTCAAGTAGGTTTACAGGACCAAACTCAACCCTGATGGTTCTGTGAATAAGTATAAGGCAAGGCTTGTTGTCAAGGGATATGCCCAGATGTTTCCGGTAGATTTCTCTGAAACTTTTTCCCCCGTTACCAGGCTGGATACAATAAGGATGTTGTTGGCTCTTGCTGCACAAAAGCCCTAGGTGATACACCAAATGGATGTTAAGTCAGCATTTCTAAACGGATACTTGGAGGAAGAAATTTTCGTAGAGCAACCGTAATGATTTTCTGTTTAAGGACAAGAGGAGAAGGTATATCAACTGAAAAAGGCCTTGTATGGTTTAAAACAGGCACCAAGGTCCTGGTATAGCAGAATTGATGCACACTTGATAAACCTAGGAATTGAAAAGAGTCTAAGTAAATCTACTTTATATATCAAGATGTTTGATGTTGAAATACTTGTGGTATCCTTGTATGTTGATGATTTACTTGTCATAGGAAACAATGAGGAACTCATTGACAGGTTTAAAGAAAGAATGAAAGATGCTTTTGAAATGACTGATCTTGGAAGAATGACATTCTTCCTTGGTATGCAGGTGCAACAGAATCAAAATGAAATCTCTGTGAGTCAGATAAAATATGCAAAGGAAGTTCTAAAAAAATTCAAAAAGGAGGAATGCAAGACAATTGCAACTCCAATGATTCAAAAAGAGAAGTTTAGCAAAGAAAATGGAGCTGAAAAAGTTGATGAAGGGCTGTACAGAAGCCTAATAGGCTGCCTAATGTACTTAATTGCTACTAGGCCAGACATTATGCATGCAGTAAGTCTACTGTCAAGATATATGCATTGTGCAAGTAAAATAAACTTTCAAGTAGCAAAAAAAAAAAAAATCCTCAAATATGTTAAGGGCACAGTTGACTATGGAATAAGATTCCAACAAGTTAAAAATTTCAGTTTTCATGGTTATCCTGATAGTGATTGGGCTGGATGTGATGATGCTATGAGAAGACTTGGTGTATGCAGCTTAAGAGTCAAGGAGGAGTGTTGATCAATATGACACATGAAGCTGCTGACATGGATAGATATTGTTACATATGATGTGCTTTGAAGAAGTCAAGTGACAGTTAGACTATGGCCTTTTCTTTATGCTATTTTATTGGAAATAAATTTTTATGCTTTTATGTAGCATATTATTCTGCAAATTAGTTATTCAGTTGCTGTATAAATAATTGAACTTGATGCTCAATAAATTGCATACTTTTATAATCTCATATAAATCTTGTTCTGATTGTTATTTGCATACTAACAATTTTTGAGGACTTGGGAAGAGGTGGGGGAAATTGGAGCTGGTGGTGGTTGGAGCAGCTTTTTGGTGGGTTTGGTGAGGAGGACGACGGGGGATGGTGGAGTTGAAGCTGAGGCATGTTTGGTTGATGTGGAGGATCCACTTGAGCATCTAATGATCCACTCAGATTTACCGTCTACCACGTACATGGAGCCAAAGACGAAATTCATCCAATGAATGATGGGAAGCAATGGACCTAAGTTCGGTGGCCACTAAGCGGATTCTTGAAGTTGGGTGAGTAAGTCGTGACAAAGTGCAAAATTCGGTGGCTAATGAAACATTTAACTCCAGGCTACTCCTTCAGTTGTTTTATCACCATAAATTTTACCATCCTACGCTTTATATCTTCAAAAAACATGGGTGCAAATTCGAGTACCTCCTGATGCCTCACTCTTTGAATAAATCTTCAATGGGCAAAGAAGTTGAAAAAATGCTTCAAAATAGAGAAAAACCTCGATAACTGAAGGATGGCCTCTCCACTAGTTTAAGCAATTCGTCAATCAGCAGCACTCCTGCTAAAGGATAGGTCAAGAAATCGCCAGATACAAGAGTGCTAATAAATAAAAGGAATGGTATATCGCTCCGGAGTCACGTATCATATCATTAATCCCTTTTTGAGTATAATTTTTCCATTTTTTTTGGCAATTATGTATAAAACCTCAAGAATGGTAAGGGTGGAATTGAGGAAGAAGATAAATTTTGAGAAGAGGGTAGGGTAGGGTGGGGTGGTATGGGGTGGTTGGGGGTGGAGTTGTGGAAGAAGATAAGTTTTAAAGGTTTGAAATTATTGATGGCAAAATTAAAAAGTTCGAATATAAGAGATTTTTCGCCAATCTAAAAGATAGGAAATATTTCACAATAGGGGCAAAGGTCAATGAGATTTTGTGCCAGTTACCCCTTAAATTTTGCAAAAATTTTAATGATTGTTGGAAGAATATTGACGAGAGCGCACAATTCTAAAATGATATTCTATGATTAATTTCAAAAATATGATGTTGTATTCAACACGAATCTAAATAATTTTTTTAATATCAATCCACTCACAAAAATAGAATATAAAATTCAATAAAATGAGATTTATCTTAAGATTGTTGAAGAAATTGGTGCACGAATTATATATCGTTTATCAAAAATTTGTATTGACAAATGCAATAAAATTGCAACTTACTAGTGTAATTTACCGAATAGAGTTTCAATTTATCGAAATCAAGATACGTGCATGAAAATTAAGCAAAGCAATGATTTACTGGAATTCAAGAAAAAGATAAATAAGGCAATAAAAGAAAGTGAGATATGCGAATGCAAATCTCTTTAAGATAATGTGACTGCAAATCTCTTTAAGATAGATTTCGCCTCCTAGATTGGTACTAACAAGACCAAATGGATGTCTGTCTCTCAAGATATAACACTTCTTTCAAAATTAATATGGTACAATGCTAATCTTGTTGGACGAACCAAAGTGTTAAGTATTTTTCACAAACGGAATAGATACGAACTAAAATTGCTTGAACCAAATTTTATTTCTAATAATTATATAAACAAATTTAATTTCAGCCAAAAAAAAAAAGGAAGAATATTTCAAACAGATGAGGGAGTTTAGAAATCAATTATTATTGAATTGATTTGGGGTAGGAAATATGAAATTCTGATGTCCCTATTTTTATATTTTCAAGTATCTTTTAGAAATGGTTGAATTTTTTAACATAAATTAATATAGATCATTAGCTCACACATTTTCCATATTAAATTGTTTAGATTGCACTCTATCAAAAGCTCATGACTTTTCATAATGTAACTTTTTGAATAGTCACATATAATCTGAAACAACAAGATTCGTGATTAGTTATCACACCAATTAAAGACTTTTTTAATTCACACATATAGAAATTTTAGGTAAGTTCCAATACAATCTATTCGTGTAAGTTCCAATACAATCTATTCATGTTGATGCTTTTTTAATTCACACATACAGAATTTTAGGCAAGTTCCAATGCGATCTATTCGTGTAGATGCTGTTGAATGTGATCTTACTCCAAATGGTTCGATATGCATTACTAGAAGAGGTTATTCTATCCTAGACTAGCCCACCATCTTCCCTATTTTGTTACTTTTTATTGAGTCGATGTGGGAAAAAACTGAGATGAGAGTTTGTTAATGGCCATAGGCCAGATGCCACGTGTATCGATATGATGAAGGAGGACAAACAGCTAACATTCATTAAACTTTTCTGACTTTATATTCAATAAACAGTTAATTAACCAACCAACTACTCCTAGAAATGTTTACCTTAAAACACCCCATCTTACACGGCCTCTCTCACATTGCTATTCGTCTTTTGACCTCTCATTTCATATTGATTTTCAATCGTATCCAACACTGCATTCACGTAAGAAAACTCAATTTTCTAGTCTATTCTTTTTTGAATCGACAGATTTCTTGTTTGATGTTGCATTACGATGAAATCTTTCTTAGGCTTTGATTCGGCTTTTGGTCATTTTGATTCATATTATTGTAAGGATGGTACAAAATTAATAAGTGATTGTTGTTGATTAGATTTTAATTCTAATGTACACATAACATATTAAAATTATGAATCTTTCTATTATTTCATCCAAGGTTTTTTGCCCCACCCTTTTTTTCCTGTTAAAGTTTTTGTTAGGCCAACATTTATGATTTACCATTGTTCTTCCACAGATGGCATTTGGGAATTTGATTTTATTGTCGTATTCTTGTTATGGTGCGCTTTTCATTCGACTTGATAATAATTATAATTCATGAAAATATGCAGATTGGTGATAGGATACAAGTAGTGGAATCGGAATGGCATTTTCGTATCCATTAGCTAATTTTGATGATTTGGTTAGCCAGTTCAAGTCTTGCTTATCGACAAGTTTTGGAGGTGATGATGTATGGATTTCTTGATCCGTTGGGTCGAGCTGTCCAGATTCTAAACCTGCAATATTGAAGTCTGAGAAGACAATCCTTCAAGGCTCCCTCGGCTTTAAAGGGCGGGAAATGGAAACCACGTCTGATGAAAATGTTCATAAAGAGTTTGGTAAAAAGAGAAATCTGGCTGCCTTAAAAGTGCAGAAAACATATAAGAGTTTTAGAACCCGAAGGCAATTAGCAGATTGTGCAGTCTTAGTCGAGCAGAGATGGTAAGTTTTAACTGCCTGAATATATATTTTTTTCTCTGCTTTTCCGTTTAACATTATAGATTTTCAATATTTTTCTGTGATATTCAGGTGGAAGCTCTTAGATTTCGCAGAGCTCAAACGTAGTTCTATGTCTTTCTTTGCTATTGAAAAACCTGAAACTGCTATTTCACGTTGGTCAAGAGCAAGAACCAGAGCTGCTAAGGTAGAATTGTTGCAATCACTGCATATTTATTAGAGCGTTATCCCATAGATTTAAGCCTTTTGTCTTTCAATAACAGGTGGGGAAAGGTTTGTCCAAGGATGATAAGGCACGTAAACTCGCTTTGCAGCATTGGCTCGAAGCTGTAAGTTGCACCTCTAGAGAAAGTTCAAACGATGATATATGGTATTAGCCCTTGGTGACATTTTTTCTTATTTTCTTGTAGATTGATCCTCGACACCGCTATGGTCACAACCTGCAATATTATTATGTCAACTGGCTCCAATGTGACAGTAAACAGCCTTTCTTCTACTGGTAATATTAATTTGAACCAGAAAACTACTGCCGAATTTTAGCTTCTCTTCATTATTAAAGATCACTTAAGAGCATCCGGTTTCCTGAATTGCAGGCTGGACATTGGAGAAGGTAAAGAAGTAAATCTTGAGAGGTGCCCTCGATCAAAGCTTCACCATCAATGCATCAAGTATCTTGGTCCGGTAAGCTTCATTTTCCCACATTTGGGATTGTGACCTTGGATTCATGTCACTGGGCTGTAGGAATTTGAAAATCTTATATACGTGCATCAGCATACATAAAAAAAGCAGTCTTTTAATTTTCTAAAGGTCCTTCAAATTTTCTCTTCATAACGAAGAAAATGTGTCCAAATTACTTATATTTGTTTCTGCAGACAGAGAGGAAGATCTATGAAGTCGTCATAGAGGATGGCAAGTTCATCTATGCGCAGAGTGGGAAGCTTCTCGACACAAGGGAAGGACCAGGAGACGTTAAGTGGATCTTTGTACTGAGTGTGTCCAAAACTTTATACGTTGGGCAGAAGAAAAAAGGCACTTTTCAACATTCAAGTTTCTTGGCTGGTGGTGCCACTTTGTCTGCTGGAAGATTAGAAGTCGAAGAAGGTGTTATTAAGGTACACATACGATCAATTTCTTCTTTGTTTTCAGCTAATATTTTTGCATTGATCATTTCAGACTTCTAATAGATGTACCTAAAATTTTGGAAAATAGGCGGTTTGGCCTCACAGTGGGCACTATCTCCCAACAGAAGAAAATTTTGAGGAATTCATTTCGTTTCTTATGGAGCACAACGTCAATCTGAGTGTCGTCCAGGTAAGATGATGCATCTTTCTAAGGAATTATCTCAGGTTAAGTTATGGGTAAAAAAAAAAAAATACATTTTACATATATTGAATTACTATCTGGTGTACAGAAAGCATCAAATAATAAAGAGGAAGTTAGTGTCATTGGCCCTCGTAGTAATAGCATATCAGCACCAGATATCAGTCGAGCCACCAGTGAAAACAGCAATGCAAAAGAGGTAGATGGGGAGATAACTGATTCCAGCAAAAAATATTCCAAGGATGCTGAAAATGTAAATCCATGCATATCAAGATGGTCCCGGAAATTACACTCAAAAATTGCCGTTCTTCAAATTCCCAGAAGGGAGGACGGGGCGTATGAGTTGTTCAAGACACCACACCAAGGGCCTAACTTTGACACCAGGGATAGTGAATCAGATGGATACGAAACACCAGAGGAATGTTTGTCAGATTCAGAATTTTCTGTCTCCAAACAAAACTTATTTGATGACGACGGAAAGGAGGGAGAGTATGAAGAAACCATACCAAAAGAAAAGATTATCAAAAGAATAAGCTCGCATAAAGGAATGCGATCATATCAGTTGGGGAATCAACTTTCGTGCAGATGGACAACAGGAGCTGGTCCACGAATAGGATGTGTGAGAGATTATCCTTCGGAACTCCAATTCCTTGTTCTAGAGGAGGTACATTTGTCTCCAAGAAAATCACAGTCATCACCTCCTAAAAACGCTAGATCACTTCTAAGGATTCCTCCTCCTAGTCCTACCAGTTTATGCACATAAATCAACAATTCAATGCTTCCTGAATTTTTATTTTTATTTTTATTTATTTTTATTTTTTCCATGGTGACAGACACCGGTATATCAGTATTAGATGAATAACGTTTTACAGTAATGTGAACAGTCTGACACAAGCTCTGATTTGGATTGTTCACAACAGAAACTTCGCAGTTCTTCTTTAGGTTGGGGTTGGTGTGCGTCCGGCACTGCCAGTCAACAACTTCTGCGTGAACTTGCTAGATGAAACTTGAACGGGAATACTACGTACTCCATTCCAAATAAAACGTTGGCAAGAACCAAATATTTGAATTAAGATCCCCGTCAGACAAATCCCTTATATTTAGAATAAGTGAATCCAAAAGTTAAACTAGACACGGAAGTAAGAAAAAGGAGGGGGGCAACATCACCTAATCCACACTTGTGTTCACATCTTAAAAAAATTGATTTAAATACATGATCCGCATTATTATGCAAACATGATCTTTAACATCAATGATGCTAACAGGTCATTTTTCTCATTTGGCATATTGATATGGCTGATGCTTTCAAATTTGAGCCAAAGTTTGCCACAGTAACCTCAAATTTCCCTTTCCCCAGTTACCCACGCAATATAAAAAACATAACAGAAAAGATCAAACAGCGCCCAAAGAAAATTTCAATAAAAGGGTAAAATCCCAAAACCTTGAAAATTTGAAATTTGAGACACATATATATTAAATAATTAGCCCATTTTGCTATTCATTTTTTTTTTCAATCTCATTTTCAACTACACATTTTTTAGTAAAGAGTATTCACATGGACTCGTAGCCTTTCCTATTTTTTCACTTTTTAACCACGCATTCTCCAAAAAATCACTTTTCAAAAAATAATATTCTCAAATATCTCTACCTAAAAGTAGCTTAGTATGTCTTGTTAGAATAATTCCAAATATGGACTTCACATTCGATTGTAAATTTTACGGGTTAGATATATGGATCATAATGATATTTGTATTCGGGCAAAATTTTTTAAGGGAAAATTACAAAATTCCAGGTATTTAAAGACTGGAATTCAAACATCAAGGTTAAAGATTCTTTGTGCATAAATCAGGTATCAAATAAAATATTAAATATTACATATTTACCCCAATTATTCCAAATCCTAGACACTTTCTCATTTTCCTTTCTCTTTCTACCATCTCCTTCTCACCCATATTTCTCTATAACAAGTTGTCGGCAGAGAAGTCGTCATTGTAGTGGCAACGTCTGAAGAGTGGTGCCGATTCCGATGTGAGACCAGCGTCGCTGCCAGTTCTCTCACTTTTCGATCTACGGTTATCTCTCTTCGTTCGATCTGCTACAGTTTATCGTGTGGTGAGATCAGCGCTGCTGCCAGTTCTCTCTCCAGTCCGATGTGAGACCGGCATCGCTGCCCGACGTTGATGTGATAGCGTTTGTGGTGTTTGACATGGTGATGTGGTGATTTCTCTGTGCAGCTTCTCTGTGCTTGATGGTGATGTAGTGACATTTGTGGAGTGACACGGTGGTAGTTTGGTTCAGGCGACGATGGTGTGGTTGGTTTTTTTTTTTTTTTAATGGTGGTGCCAGGTACGGTGGATCTAGGTAAGACTGCGATGGTGGTATTCTGGTTGTAGTCGGAGTTTGGTGGTGGTTCTGGCTGTGTTGGTGGCTTGGTGTGTTGTGGTTGATGGTGATGGTTATTGATGCAAGTGGTGAAGGTGGCCGATCCGTAGTATGTGTGCGGTTTTGTTGGTGCGATGTGGGTGGTGGTGTTTGCTATGGTGTTGATGTTAGTGTTGTTGGTGTTTGTGTTGGTGTTGGTGTGGTGTGCGGCGACGGTGGTGGTGTTGGTCGTGGTGATGCAAGTTGGTGGTTTGGGTTGATTGTCGATGTATTTTTTTTGTTAGCGGTGGTCTGTGACTTTAAAATTTGATAGTCTGTGATTAAAAAATAATCTGTGACATCAGGGATTTGGTTTGTAACCTTAAAATTTATAATCTATGACATATAAAATTTTCGATTTGTGGTCTCGAAATAATCCGTGACCAATTAATTTGATGATATGCAACCAGTAAATAAATCAGTGACCATTAATTGTTTAACTGTGATTTTAATATATTTATTTAATAAATAATTTTAATTAATTAAATACAAACATGAATTTTGAATTTTCAAACTTCTTACCTGATTTTTGAAATGGTGTTAAGAATACATGATATGAATTTTCCCCATTTTTTAAAGTGATTAATTGGGCCTTTTTTTATACCTTACGAATTGTATTTAATATGATGTGGAAATTTTAAGTATGTGGGTTGAAAATATATATAAACCATAATTAGCATTTTAAGCGTAATGAGATGGCTCAATAATTTTCTATATAAAAGCTAGGTTTACTCCCCTCTCCATAATGTTTCATTAGCTTGCCCCATTAACAACTAATATTTTGTGAGGAGTAAGGAGAGAAATATCTAGCTGCTATTATTCATGTTAATAATGACTTCCGTATGTATGAATTCGATTTATCAATTTATTATTTTTTGATTCCTGAATCTTAGAATGATTACAATTAAATTCATCAATTGGTATCAGAGTCATCATGTTAAGATCAGGGTCCGTCATTAAAATAATATGCTTTCTCTAATTGAATAATTCTAAAGTTTTCGCTACCTGTCAATTTAAGTATTTGGAATTGTTATGTTTTCACAAAGTTTTGAAATAAAAAAAAAGGGTGCATTAATTTTTGTTCTGTGCATATATTTATCATATACATTCATTATATATGGACATATCTAAAGAAATCCTAAAAATCGAATCTGCACACACCTATTCACTCTCCTACCCACGGCTGAATTCAACTTCAATAGGTGGCTGATTTTAATTTGGAGGCTTCTAAGTTGAGACAATTCATGATCTGGGTTTTGTGTGTTGTACAATATGCTTGGTTGCTAATTGTTCTATCTATATTTTTCTTGCTGTGAAATTGTGATTGATGTTGATGGAAGAGAAAATAAAAATAAAAAATTGTGGGAGCAGGCCCATCCACGGCAGTCGACCGTCGCGACTGCAACGAGCACCGCGACACTGCTAGGTCGATGAGTAGTGCTGCTGTGAGCAAGCACCGACAGCAATGGCACACCAAAAATTGGATGGTGCGGCGTCGCCGAGGCTGCACATGAGAAAAAAATTATTATTCTGGTCTTCTGCAAAAAGGGGGCCAAGGGGAGGGGGGCTTCAACCGCAAATAATTGAGTTTCGAGCCCTCAGTTGCAATTATCATTTAAGGGCCTGTTTGTAATTTTAAATAAAGGACCTGTCATGTAATTATCGAAATTGAAGGACTTGTTTATAATTTTGAACTAGGGGAAATTTTAATATGATTTTGAATTTGATTTTGATAAGGGCTTTTAATTTAAATTTTTAAAGTTTTGACCCTAAAATTTTAATTTTTGACCTAATTAAAATTTTATTGAAACTTGAACGATTTTGTGATTGAATTTTTCATGAGCGTTGAACGATTCTTATGTTTCCACTGAAAGAGAAATATTTTGAAATAAAAATTAGTGGTAGTTGCCAAAGTGGCACACTCATTAATATTTATTCGATTTTCTCTACAATTAAAAAATATATATTTTTGCCCAACAATTTTGATTTATTGCATATAATAACTTGCCCAAAAGTGTTATTATATGTGATATTTTTGAAAAAATGGTATAAGGCGGTTAACGAGTTTACTGTGGTCTAGAAATCTCCTTCTACCCAAAGGTGTTGGAATTTCGAAAGCCAATGTAATTTTGTTAACTAGTTATATGATGTGTTTTAAAAGTATCTTATATCAGATTATATTGTCAGCCTAAAGGTGAATTTATGATGATGCATCTAGGCTCTTATCGTAATAAAATTCATATGATTTTGATTTAAATTACGGACTATATAATTAATTGTCCATGTTAATTAGTTGAATATAGCATTATGTTTGGATGATATTGAATATGATGCTTTATGTTTCCACTATTTATAATGCATTATCTCTTTCGAGTCAATTTTCTGCCATTAAAACATTTATTGGAAATAATTATGTGAGATAGAAATGAGATGTAGAAATAGCACTTGGTTTTTTGGGCTTGGACTTTGCAATGAAGAAAAAGCTTGATAAACGAATAGGTAAGAGCACTGTTGAATATGTAGCAGAGTATGAAAAGTGGGAAAGGGCCAACAAACTCTGTTTGAATATCATTAAGTGATCCATATCTAATTCCATCATGGGTGCCATCCCCGATAATGAAAATGTTAAATGTTTTATGGATGCCATAGGAGAGAAATTTATTGAGTCTGATAAAGTAGAAACTCAGATCTAATAGATAAATAGATGAATATGAAATATGATGGTACAAGTGGTGTTAGGGAGCACATTATGAAGATGATAAATAGATCATTTAAGCTAAAAGCTCTTAACATTCCCGTTGCGAAGCCTTTTCTAGTCTATCATGTTTTAAATAGTCTTCCTAACTAGTTTAATCAGCTTAAGGTCGTCTACAATGCTGACCAAGATAAATGGGATTTGAATGATCTTATTGCAGTGTGTGCCCAAGATGAGCATAGGATACGAAGTGAAACTGTTGAAATTGTGCAATTAGCTTTTCAGCCATCACAGAACAAGGGGCCCTTCTCATAACCATAAGCCTAAGTTCCGTAAGGGTAATAAATTACACCGAAATCAGTAGAATAAAAATTTTAGTGGTCCAAAAGGAATTGTGAAGAAAAATAATCAATGCAAGTTCAATAAAAATAAGGGTCATTGGCAGAAAGACTATTTTAAGTTTAAGACCTAGTTGGAAAAGAAGAAGAGCTCTGCAGGTTGTCCTTTGGCTTTGGTTTGTTTTGAACCTTTTTCAGTAGATGTGATTTTGAATTCTTGGTGGTTAGACTCTGGAGCTAATATTTACTTTGCGAATTCTTTGCAGGGATTCACAAACAAATGGAAGTCAAGTGAGAATGAAGTGAGCTTGAGCATTGGAAATGGAGTTCAAGTGAATGTTGAGTTTATAAGAGTAGTGAAGTTGACTTTAAAGTCTAGTTTTTCTCTTGTTTTGGAAAATACAGTTTTTGTACCACAAATG